ACTTGAAGTGCCTGTATATCTGAAAACTCTTTACAAAACCATAAAGCTGGTTTACAAAACCATAAAGGATTTACAAAAATAAAAAAATAAATAAGATGAAACAAACAGCTTGGTCTTTTTTAAGGTAAGGAGACATCTTTTAATGTAGCAAGCAACTGATGTGGACTCATTAAATATTTAATGTTGAACAAAAATAAACTGATCAAATGGCACAAACACGGCAGTACATATACAAACTTGTCCTTTGTAGGGTATAGAGTGCAGAAAACGGAATTATATGTTAGTTGCAGGGGTTTAAAGCTTGAGCTATCTTAAAGATAAAAGAAAAAAATTATGGTTTAAATTTGACCTCCTGACTACCAGCTATTAAATTTTGTCCTCTGTAGAGGACATTATGTTTTAGCAATTTCTCTGAGACGTTACATGTCACAGTTTTAAGTCTGGATGTCCAGTACAAAGCACATTCAGGGCTTTTCAGAGATACCAAATGATTGGATGTGTCACCATGACCACTCCCTCTCCTTGGTCTTTAAAAATGCACTGTAAAATACAGTTTGACTTTATTTCTGTCATATATCTACAAAAAATCTTTGAGATTTAACAGAGGTTTAGACGGTTTATTGAAAACGTTTTGTTTGACCTCACCATCATGGTGATCAGTGTTTGCTTTAGTTGGGTTCTTGACCCTTCACTTTTTAATGCTAGCTTGTCTAGTTGTTGTAACTGTGTTCATAAAGCAAATTTCGTAAGAAAAATTATGATTAAATGGTTCTGGTTAATTATTGATGATGGTGTAATAATAATTTCTTGGCCTGATTCACTGATCTCATTCAGTGGCTGATCTTAAAAACTATAGTGTGGGTTTTCACTTGTTTCATGTTATTTACGATAGCTATATGACACTGCGAGTTGAGATGATAGACAATTATGATGGATTTTGAAAACTTGTTATGTTCAAAGGCTTTAAAACTACGGCATCTTTTAGACACACAGAGACATCAAGAATCAGCACATGAATCTCAACAATGGTGACAAAAGCTTCATGCTGCAATGCATGCTGGGTACCAGCACAGGAAAAAACTCATCCATGACTCCCAGCATGCATTGCGGCATGAATAAATTATGCCGTTGAATTGTCCACTAATTT